TTATCCTCTTTGTCCTTCTTGTCTTTATCATATTTGTCTTTCTTATCCTTATCCTCTTTGTCCTTCTTGTCTTTATCATATTTGTCTTTCTTGTCTTTATCGTCTTTGTCTTTCTCATCCTTTTTGTCCTTCTTATCTTTATCTTTATCATATTTGTCTTTCTTGTCTTTATCGTCTTTGTCGTTGTCATATTTCTCATTCTGTGTGGAATGCTTAATAAGTTTTTCTGAATTATCTTGCTCCTTAGATTTATCTTGTCCATCACTTTTGTCATCATTTCCATAACCACTTTTATTATTTTCTTCGTGCTGTGTTTGCTCTTGGTCTTTAGGCAGGATTTTTTTCCTTAGGTCTCTCAACCAACTAGAAGGTATACCTGTTTTAATTTGGTTGTCATCTTGTTGGTTTGTTTTTTCTGTTTTTGCTTGTTTTGTTTGAGTTTCTGAGCTCCCTGTTTAAAACAAATTTTATAGATGATGCACTGCTTTTAACACCTGATACAACAGCTCACAAAAAATGTTTCATTTAACATGAAGTAAAAAGCCATGGTATAAAACTTACCAACACACAGCAACAAGCAGCACAAAGTGACAGCAATCACAGTTATTTGAAACTGTTGGCCAACAGAACACATGGACAGTGTAAGTTTGTTTCTCATAATCACAATTTGCTTATCTTTTGTTAACATAGCAAATATATATTTATATCCACAGAAAACAAACAAATACCTCTTTCATCTTGGACGCAGGTTCTGTGTCAGCCTTAACCTATGCACATTTATGCAACTGTAAGAAAATTATACCATACTTGAGTGTTCAACGTATTTGCCAATATGTTTTGTAAAAATGTTATTCTTTTATTATTCTTTTATATCACACAATAATTTTTGCATATTTACAATCTATAAAATTGTATTTTTTTAAAGCAAAGACTCAGATGGAGAAGGAGAAGTTACATATTAACAGCTTAAAACTTTAAAGACATTTAAAGATATTTAAACTCACTGATGAAAGTGAATAAGTAGTGAGCAAAATTTAAAGACTGACATGTACAAAGACTAATACATAAAAAGTGTGAGACTTACTGTACAGAGACTTCGTAATGTATTCTGTGTCAGTAGAAAAATGGTTTATCCTGTAAAGCTCTCTCAATCCGACGTGCTTTACCTCATAAGTCCCACTGAGGACCTGTGCTTAAATACTTCACTGTGATGTGAAAGTAGTATTTAGGCAGACTGAGATGAGGTGGCGCTCCAGCACACACCCAAGATATAACAATTATTCACTAATTACAACTAATTAGGCTAAATGGCCTTCCTGTTTAATACAGATTGAACCTGTTCTAAAAGTGTCACGTTTCAAAGAAATAATTGCAGTGCACGTCTTGTTACGCAACAGTTTTAAGAGCATTGCTCTGTCATTTTTCACTTTGATTCCATCAACATGTTCTTTGCCGTGAGCAGTAGATGAACCTAACTGTCGTCTTTGTGCTCAGCAGTATATCCACACAGTCAATATGCTGATAAAAATAAAATATATATAATTTTAATCTTTAAGGGGTTGGTGATGGAAAACCACCATATCAAAGTATCTTTTTTACTTTATAGTTACTTATAACAGGTGGAGAGTTTGTAGTCCAGTTAACAAATTAATAAGCAAGATTGTTTATCAGGCATGTGATTTATTTTTGTGAGTTTGCACATTTTTGGTTCAAACTGCATTCATAGGTCTGGGAAGTGAAGCTTGTTTTTGTCAACATTTCTTATATAATGTAGCTTTTAAACATGTTCTTTACCAGACACCACAATAGGACAGATCAAAAAGCAAATCAAACTGTCTGACGTATAAAGATGATGTGTAATTAACATTAATTAGAAACTAAACTTAATCCCTAAAATAAGGTGACGTAGGAAACATAAAATGACAAAAGCCCTAAATGGACTGGTACATTGTGCCATGGCCAGAATACCACACCGCAGCTAGCACATAGCTAGCTTGCACAAGATGGAGACTAAAGGAGCATACTAAGTTTATTTTTTTTATTATTCAGTGGGAATATACAGTGCTGGAAACATGTTGGTTAATAATTTTCTTATACAAATATATTAATTATTGAGTAGTGAATTCAATTAAGAAAATAGATTTTAAAAGTTGACGTGTCTTTACATATAGTAGCAATGTCTGTGGGTGTGCAAAGGGGGTCCCCAGCCAGTAGCTGATGCTGTTTGGGGCGGGGGGCAGTGGGGGAGGGTCTTGGCATGGAAAGGTTTGGGAACTCCTGCTATAGTAAACTGGTCTGCACAGTATTATCTTGGCCAGTCGCATTGTCTATGCCCAGTGTGCAATCAGAGTACATAAGCCTAACTGTATTGTTCTATTTTGAAATGTGTTATTCAGTAGCGTTGTTACTTCATACTCATACATTTACAGCCAGAGACATAGAAGTTTTGAGTTTGTAGAAATAAGGCTAGAACTGACATGCAATCTTGTAGCAATTAAAGGAAATTTATTTTTGTTATGGTTTGACAGAGCTGTGAGGATTTACATATAAAGTATAACACTATATCACTGTAATGATTTGTTGTTTTTTTACCAGTGGTGAGCTGTGCTGGTGAGCTTTACACCTCCGTGTTTGCTTAAAAAGGGAAATAGAACTTCACCCTAACATTGTTCCCTAAAATCATTAATAAAATGCGACAGAGAATATTTAACAGAAAGATTTATAAGTTACATTGGCAGTCTTTGAAGGGTTCATCATTGCTTAGCTAAATTAGCTAACTTTAGCATATTTAGTTTAGTAACAAATATTTAGGTTTATGTTGTAAAACAGTCAAGAGACATAAAATTAAAGGATTCATGGTGAAAACCTTTTTGTAATATTCCATTATGACAAAATGGCTGCTTTTTAGAATTGTTCTACCAGGGGGTTGAAATAACTCCTTGATTTTTTTTTTTTTTTAAGATTGAGAAATGAGCTGAAATCAAGTAAACGCTGCTGTTATATTTGAATCACATTGATTTCTGTTTCCGTGACTGGAGAGTTGAGTGTGAGTTCAGTTCAAAACAATAAAAATAATTAAAACAAAAAACAAACAACTGTGTTCGCTACAGTAGCCTTTGAGTAAGTCAGATCAAAGGCAAGCGCATTAGTCAGAAGTTGATTTAGGTGCAGAAAATTCAGACGCCATCAAAGTTGCAGTGCAGCTGGAAGCATCTCAGACAGCTCCATCGCTCTGAAAAACAAACATTTCTAAGTGATTGTAGAATGTAGTCCATCCAGGTCATTTGCAAAATGCATTGTTTCTGGGTTTGTGACCTGTGCATAATTATCCACTAATAAAGTTGGTGATTAATTAAAATTAGGGTAATTAATAGAAGTTATGTGTCTATGATCAGAGTTCCTGTCTGAAGCAAATTTGACTTTGTCATTGTTGTTTTTGTCTGTCCTTTTGATGGTATATGACAAATATGTTTTTCTGACAAGTGGAAAGCAGTGTGTAACAAGTGTTAAATAATAAATTAACTCTACGTCTAATGTTCACTACGTCTTTAAATATATGTAATAGTGAATGGTTGATAGACTGAATTTAGGTTGAATGTGGATTAAAACCTCATTTCTATTTATTAACTATTCTATATATTTCTTATAATTGTGTTATCATATTTTTTTAATCTTCATTCATGGGATAAAATAATGTGTACATCTTTTACAAAACCTATTACTTTTAGGATACTCCATAAACAAAAAGGCAGAAATGTAACAGAATGACTGCTAAGTTGCACAAGCATTTCCTTCTTTATTTATAGTAAATCTTACTTGACTAATTGAATCAGAGATTGGCCACACTGCCTGCTTTGAGCTCTACATTTTCATTCGTCAACATCAGTACGCTGTCTGTTTCACATAGAAAAAACCCCCAAATATCTTATTGCATACTCATGAAGTATTTTGATTAAAGGCCACTTCTACATTTCCGTAGTATATTTTTAATATTTTTCTGACTTTTTGTAAGTTGAAGATTGTTGTGTATTTTCTTTTACAGATTGAAACACAGACACATAGAGATCCTGATGCAGATGAGAGGTTGTGTACAGTACAACCTGGTCTTGTGTTGTCACTAAGGCAGATCGGAGTGAGAGACAATAGTAGCTTTGTGCTGCCTTGACATGTGATCTAGATTGTGACTAGTAGTGTACTGACTTTACCATAGTCATTATACTACTAGTTACACGTCCTTCTCAGAGAGATCTGTTAATACTGACCCCACCACAGCAGCTACAGTCTCCACACAGAGCTCCCAGCAGTCCATTCACCACCTGCACTGCGCACAGTGCCATCTGAATCAAACCCATGACCAGTAGCAGGGAGAACAGAACGAGATGCCAGGAAACCACACCATCTGGCCCAGAACATTTGGACCAACTATTTTTGTCAGACAGGTAGTCGCTGGGGAGGGACAGAAAAAATGAAGACAACGTGTTTTCATGAAATGAAATGCACTGATTGATTTATGACTGATGAGTTACAACCACACTTGCTTTACCTCTACTGTACAAGCTACAGTGAAATACATTGTTTTTATGATGATATGCACTAATAATAACGTGCTAGCAATTGCCACAGATGTGATCACACTTTGAAAAACAACTTCATGATAAACCTGCTAGTCTCATTTGAATTAATCCCATCCTACTGTAAATATGTGGGAACAACTTGTAAAACTTTTCATCTAGTATTTAATATTAATTTTCTACACAGATATTTGTGTGTCTCACCCATTTGAGAAGGGAGTACCCCACGTCTCATCGGCTAATATACACTTGGGGCCATGGTTAATGGACACAGCAGAGATGACGACGGAGTAACCAGACCCCATAACACCCACAGCAGCAAAGAGTATGGAACTGAGCATCTGCAGAGTGAATAAACAAGTGAGTGTATGGCCATGTTTCATATTTAAACTTAATATTATGACAGGTTCTGAACAATGACAACCACAATATTCTGTTACTCAAAAGGTTGTTGACACTGAATAGCGGACGACAAACCACTGACAAGGTGTGTTTGCAGTGTGAACTTCATGTCCCGAAGTATTGATTATCACGTTTGTTACACCAGTTATCAGCCCTGTCTTGTGTGAGAAAGTCAAGTGGAACTCCCATCAGTGGAATTTGTAGGTGCAGACAGCCAATCCTATTATCTTCTATTCACTGGATGACACATTTCTAGAGGTGGTTTTTTCTACCCACTGATGTCCTAGGATTTTTTTTAACCTCTGTATATGTAATTTTTAAATTCAAAATCTTTAAACAATTTGTCAATTCCTTTTCTAAGGTATTGCAGATATGTTTAAAAACCTACATCAATCTTTTTTAAAAATCTTTCTCTTCTTTTATTTTGTTTCTTTTATCTCTTCTAGCTTGTTACACTAATCGTCTTTATGTCCAATCTAGATGTTTTTTCCTCCTCCATAAACGGCATCCATTGGTCCATTCATCTATTTATCTGTCTCAATATCTTGATATTTTCTTCATAACTTTATCCTTAAACTGGTCAATCGTCGAGAGAACCTCTGTGTTTAAAATCACAAATTGCTACAATACCAACAGGCTGGTTAATCACTGTTAGTGGTAGTATTTGACAAGTGACCCACCATTTGTCGGATCTGTTGGCTCTGTTGTCCAGCGGTAAGAGGTGTACAAATGTAATATAAGAGCAGAACTGCAATTGTATTTACTATAATACAGTGTGAAATATTTTTTCTCGCATTGCAGTAAATATATGTTTCGCTGACTAAAATGTGATTTGACATGAATGAAAGGCCTAGGAGAAAAAACTGTTTTTGCTTCGTACTGTAGGTCCATTATGACAGAAATTAGAAATTGGCCTTTGACGAGCCAACTTCTTCTATTGTCATATTATTTTAAGATTATAGATGAGTCTTTCAGTCCTACTTTAGAATACAGTTTCAACTACCTGCATATCTGATGCTAATCCCTGTCTAAATATTTGACAGTTGTAAATTACGTTTTTGTCATGATTATTGTCATCATATTGTTATGGTGAGAAATTGTGCGATGGAACATCTGCTCACTGCAAATCTCCGCCCACAGCTTTCATTGCCACAGCAACCACAGCAGTCATTGTTCTTCAGACCCAGGAAGACCAGAGCTGGGAAGATCATCTGTTAACACATAACCACACCCATAACGTGCAGGAAGCAGGTTCAAAGCATTATCACTTTATTGGGACAAAACTGTTGATTAAGTACTAAATACATTTTGATAATCATTACAGAAGATAGATATATATATAAAAAACTGCTGTAGATGAAAGGAAGACATTGATATGGTTTGAGGTATTAATCTCTCATTCTTTGACCATGACTCAAAAACCCCATTCTTGATACGGTTGAAGATTTGCAACCTGACTTAACACCAATATCCTTGTAAAGTGCAAGAATCAGCTTCTTCTCTCGTAAGTTTATTCAAATCATATTTTGTTCGTAAAATGCTAAAAGAGCCTAAAACAGAACAAATCTGCACTTTAAAAGTTGATATAAAATAGCTGTGATTGAAGTTTCCACTGACAAAGAGGAAAATAATTCTAACTTTAAGGAAGTAAGATTGAAGACACTCACCAACACTCCAGATCCCAGAATGCCTCCAAAGTACCAAACCTCTTCTGTGATGTTAGCGCTGTCCACAGAGTTCCCACCAGGGAAGAAAAGAAGAATGTTGCAAAGAACACAAATGATTGAAAGGGGCAGCAGAGTGATCCCCAAACATTTTGCAAAACCGCCTGAACACATTTTTGTCACTGATACAAAACACCTCTGACCAGAAACAATATTAGGTTTTTAATAATATCCTGAGAACTCCAGGTGTCCCAAATGTCTAGCCTTGAGTTTTATGTGAAATATTTTAACCAACTAATGCATATATGAGCTGAACCTAAAATTTGATTAGTCTTAATCTGTCACAAATTGCTCCTCTTCTTTTATAAAAATAACTCTTGTGCATCCAAAGCGAATGATCTTGTTTCCTCCTCCTGCTTGAGTTTTTATAGACCCCCCTCCATCTCGATCATCTCTCTGCTTCTCTTTTACAGTAACCAGCCGTCATATGTCAAACACACACTATCAGACATACATTACACACTCACACCAGTGAAAACACAGTGGTTAATGTTTTACTAAGTTTTCTGTTCATGGACACAAGAGGAAGTGGCAGAGTTGGTCGATGCAGCTGGGCCCTCTCAGCTTATCTACACCGAAACACTGGCGCGAGAGACTTCTTCATTATTAGCAAGAAAAAACATAGTTTACTTTGGAAGTGTCAGAAAGATAAGAAAAGTTAGGAGGTTATCCAAATTCATTCCATAGTCTTTAGCTATTGCAACTTGTTCTACACAAACAATGACAAAATGTCTTGAATTCGCAGATTATAATCTCATTGTTTGATAAAATGTTTATTTTTATAAGGAGTCCATAAAGAAAATAGTGTTAAGTGTTCCCAGTGTTCAACGTTTCACAAGATGGAAGCTTTTAATAATCGTCAACCTAATTGAATATTACAATTGGTGAATGTTTGTTTTTTGTCTGACGACATGCATGATTATGAAGATAGATGTAAATTCATGTTCAAGTTGCTAAGAAAAAACATCATCACCCATTTACTTACTAGGGACTTATGTCAGTCAATAGTGGAAAGAAAATGGACCATAACTTGAGTTTCTCCTCTCGTCGGTCTCCTGTGGTGTGTTTACACGGCAGTGTAGCGTCAAGTCAACCGCTAGCCACAGACATAGGATTGGGTGAGTTTACGTGTATGTTGCTATGTGTGTGTGTGTGTGTGTGTGTGTGTATACATAAAGGGAAGCCTAATATTTTTCATTTAATGTCGTTTAATGCACTATATTGATTATCACTAGTAAATTTACATCTCAGGAATACGTAAGTTGTCAGAGGTCACCTAATTTATTTTTACTGTAAAAGTATCGTCTTTTTTTAAATTATCAATACACGTTAGGGATTTATTAAGGACGTTAAAACTTTTTCAAACGGCTTTTCTAATTTGGAGTATCCTCATCAATGTCATCAACTTCTGTGCGTCGCCCTCACTCAGAAGGAAAGTCCAATCGATACCTGGAAAAAATGATCGCTGGTTGAACCTTAGTTATGGCTTTAAAGTCCATCTTTAAGTAGGTTACTTGAGACTTATGGCCCGTCAGTAGTAGAAAGAAAATGGACACTAACTTGTGTTTTTCCTCTCGTCGCTCTTCTGTAGTAAGTTTAAACGGGTGTGTAGCGTCAAGTCAATCGCTAGCCTCTGATATAGGAGTGGGTGAGTTTATTGAATGTGTATGAACAGAGAATATGAAAAGACGTAAAATGAAAACAAAGTATTCATACAGTTCAGAATACAGTTCTGTAGGGTATGATAACATGAATTTCTATAAGGGATAAGTTATTCACGATAAACACAATGTCGATGTGACGTAATTTATTTACATATACGTTACATACCGAAGGACATACCAAGTATTGACATAGTTTGTCTCTGTCTGAGACATCCACACGCCATAGAGAAAATGTAAAATAATGTTGAAAAGTATAAATTCAAAATCTGAAAATATAATAATCACATTGAACTCGTAAGCAAATCATAACATGTTAAGAAAACAGAATATGCCAAATATTCAAAGTTTAATATGGTTGTGATAGTTGACATGGATTCTTAACAATTTTGTAATCAGTGAACACTGGGCAAAGATGGGTGACAATTTTGTTTATAGCTGTTATCTGTTGTTTACATTCAGATATTTTGAAGCGTGGTGGTAATGCAGCAGATGCAGCTGTGGCCATCGCAGCTGCACTGGCAGTCACCGAGCCGTTCAGCACTGGTCCAGGTGGAGATGCCTTCTGCTTGTTCTACAACGCTAACAATGGAGAAATTACGGGAATTAATGGCAGGTAAAAGACTTTTCCTGCTTTTATTTTGTCATGTCATGACATTGGATGATCCTCTCTCTGTTTTCCAAGTGGACATTCTCCTCAAGCTCTGACTCTGGACTTACTGAAAAGCCGTGGTTATTGTGAAGAAACCCCCCCTTCTTCTTTCGATGTGCTGAATGTCACAGTACCCGGGGCACCTGCATGTTGGTGGGACACCGTACAACAATTTGGTAGTGACAAGGTATGACATTTTTTCCCTTTAACTGCTAGCACTGTTCCTTGTGCATTAGAACCTTTTACATCTATATTTGGTAGAATTTCGAACTAATTTCCCCTTAGAAATCGATTAATCGGCCTCAGTATGTGTTGATGACATACATACTCTTTATTTGTTTTAGCTTTATTCTATATTTACCTGTGAGGGGATTAGCAATTTTGTGATTAATAATGATGCAAAGCCAAAAAAATGCAAATATTAATATGATACCCAAACCTCTCTGTGAATGTTTTAGAGATCGCTATTTGTCTTATATTATATTATGACTCATATTTCCTTTGAAATATGAAGCATCTGTGAGGTAACACGTGTTTCCCTTGTCATTTCCTTTTTTCCAAGCTGTCCTTTCAGGAGGTGCTAAGCGGGGCAGTGGAACTCGCAGAGGTGGGGTTTCCTGTTGCTGAGGTAACAGCTGTGGAATGGGCGAAGGGTGTGGCTGCCCTGAGAGAGGACGGGAAGGAACTTGGAGGTGACTTACTGGTTCACAACCAGGCACCAAAATGTGGACAAGTGTTTAGAAACCAAGCCCTGGCTCGGACTCTGAAGGTAAATCTTACAAGTTTTAAGTGACATTTTGGAAAAGTGAAGGTTAAACATGTGTCCTTACTGGGATAATGTTTAAACAAAACTGGGACAACAGAGCGTTAATAGGGTAAATTGAAAAGTTAATATAGTTGAAATGGAAAATAACCAGTCAGATGAATGAGGAATTGATGATGCAAGGCACATGAGTAGGCGTTAAAATAGTGTAATTGATGCTAATTTATTTGAATGTGTGGAAAGATTGATACTAACAAAACCATTCATGAAACATTGGCTGACCTCACCCTCTGTAAATCTTTCTCCTGACAGTATGTTACACCGGTATAATTTGCTAAAACATAGTCATTCATGAACAATGATAATGTTTGTTTCTTTTTAATTTGAAAGTCACACCCTCTGGAACATCACATACTGCTCCCTAATAACCTTGACATTGGACACAGCAGTAAACAATTTAGCGGCAGAAAGTACAGTTAATTGAACATTTAATTAAATTGTTAATTAACATTTTATTAACATTAATTAACAAAACATTTTATTCTGAACTGATGTATTTACAGGAACTGGGTGAAGGAGGAAAGCCTGCTTTTTATGAGGGTCGAGTAGCCCAGGCCATCGTCGATGTCACGAGCCAACATGGAGGTGTCATGACCTTGAATGATCTCTGTAGTCATGAAAGTGAGATCATCCGTCCCATTAGCACAGACTACAAAGTGAGTTTGTACACATGCTTGATGTATTTCCATTTCAGTGAATTTATCAGAGGAAGGAATGATTCTAATGTGTGCTCAGGGTGTGTCTCTGTGGGAGCCCCCACCTAACAGTCAGGGACTGGCCACCCTGCTGATGCTTGACATCCTGGAGAACTTCCCTCTCAAAGGTGGGGTCAACCAGTCATAGGAAATTCACAACAAGTGTCCTCCCAAAAACATTAAATACAATCCGCACCTGTGGCAGCTCCCATTTCACTGTGATTGTCATGTGACATGTAAAAATTCTTCATTCTTGATAACAAATGGAGTTGATAGTATTGTAACTCAAAAGAAGCAGTGCTGCATTTCAAATTAGCTTCGTCCAGTCCCTGACTGATGATTGAAATTAATAGACCTCTAAATTGGAGCTGTTCAATCATAAATTTGTTGGACAAGATTTTCAAACCAACTCAGCTAAGCCAAAGTATTTCTATGGTCTTTAAAGAGAAGGTTACTACAAAATATGAATCAAAACCTATGAAAGAAATTGAAAAACTTTTAAAGTTTCTGTAAGTAATTTATTTAAGTATTGTTTCTTTCCCAAACTGCAACTAAAGTAATTTTTGGATACGTGACATGTTCCTATCCATCCATTTCCATCCTTTTTGTACGTATATAGTAATGAGCCACAACAGCTCTGACTATGTTCACACTCTGGTGGAGGCTGTACGTCTGGCATTAACAGATGCTATGTGTCACCTGGCCGATCCTGACCATATGACCCTCCCTGTGGAGACTTTGCTGGACAAAGGTTACAGTCGCCAGCGAGGGCAGCACATCCAGATGGAAAGGTCAGCTTTCTGTGCGTGTGTTGTGTTGGTACCAATGTGTACCAGTTGTCCTCTGTTTACTTTGCAAAAGACGGTATAATTTTACTGCATGTAATGTTTGTCCTTGCCTGTCCCATCCCTGATCCATTGTTTGTGTATGGGCTGCATACAACTTAAAAGTAACTTGGTCCAAATCAGTGATCAGAATCAGAACTCCTTACAGTACAACAGAATTTGAAAGTGCAGTCCTTATAGTGCGTAATAATTAAACACAATAAAATACAAAGTAGCCTACTTCAGCTTGTGATACCCATCCTCATGGTTGTGTGTGAATTTGTAGTTAAATTGTACTTATGGATAAGTGCTTTGGACAATCACTGATTATAATTAATTAACATAATTGTGTTTTGTTCAATGTGCAGTCGTGCTAATCACAGTTGTTACTTAGTCTTTAGTCTTTAAATTATGAAGGGTGTGTTGTCACTCTGACGCATTTACTGCTTTTCGCGAAATTAATGATTAACAAAACTAGATGGCTGAACGCCTAGTGAACGTAATGAAAACACGTGTCTCTCTTTGGCTCTGCTAGGATATAATATTCACTGATTTAAAAAATGTGAAGGTTTTCATTTGGTTCTTATCTGGTTTTCAGAAGGGCAGACTTTAACAAAAATCAAATAATGATTTTTAAATAAGTCAAAATCTCTTGACTTATTTAGAAATCATTATTAAAACATTTTGAATTATTTCATTTAATTGTTATGGTTCTTTTTTTAATTTGCAAGACTTTTTTTAAAATTTTTATTCTGGTGAATTGTTTCATGTTACTTCATACTTATTTTACAGTTTCTTCAAAGTGTCCAAACTCCCAGCACCTTCAGATGGAGATTATGGTTTCAAATTAAAAAGAAGAGAGATATATTAAAGTTGAGATTCATTTTTTGTGAAGTTTAGCACAAAAGTTCATTGCGCCACAGTAATTACTAAGTTATATACTCGTGCAAGTGCTCCATTATGCTCGTGCAAGTGCTCCACAACAGATTCAGACCTTAGTCTGAATCTGTTGTGTTATTTATTTTTTAAGCCTACAGAGTAATGTAAAAACCTGAGTGATAAGCTTTTTATATGCTTTCTCATGCGTGTCCAGTAAAGCTAATTCTGACTCAGATCATTTTGAGATTGATTTCCATAATATTTTCTTCCTTAGAAAGTTAAACATTTCTGAATTGGCTTGACTTTGAAGATGACCAACTTTGGGTGAACCAGCGTGTGCCATCTGAGAAATGCTATGAAAATATAATTTAGTATGCTGCTTTAATTTAACTGTGAGTTTTTGTGTGCAGGAAAATTGAGGGATTGAAGCCTGGCATGCTGGCTGGAAGTGACACAGTCTATTTGTGCGTGATTGACAGCCAGGGAAATGCCTGTTCATTCGTCAACAGCCTCTATATGAGCTTCGGGACTGGTCTGGTGCCCAAGGACTGTGGCTTCTCACTGCAGGTATGAATGTTCCAATGGCAATGTGAAAACCATTGAACTGCTTTTTTTCATTCCATGTAATCTAGTCAAGTGGTTTAGATCGGTTTTAGTTAGTTACTATGTTAAGATGAAGGAGAAGTTAAATAAAGATTAATAAACTAAAACATAACAAGCATGCACCCTGATCTGTTTTTACTTGTTATATCTGAATATAAGCAGTTCTTTTTCTAGTTCCTGTGCACAACCTTTTATGGTCACATCAACTTCTTTTTCATTAGATTTATTTGTATTAAATCAAATGTTCTCTTGCTGTTCTACTTTATATTTGGATGTAGGCTTAGGCCCAGAATTGTGACGTTTTCCATTTTTTTAACAAAAAGTTTAGAAACTTGTCTAGTATTTGGAATTGTAGGGTAGAAACTTGTCTAGTATTTGGAATTGTTGAAAATGTCCACTTTGTTGAAAAAGTTCAATTTTTAGCCGTTATAAAAATATTCCCAAACGCCAAATGATGCTGCCACTGTCAGTTGTGGTGTTATTACGGTGTTCTACGGTGAAAACAACATTTGGAGTTACAGCCAAATAGCTTCAGCTCAGACTTATCAAACTCTCAAGTTGTTTGTTTGTCATCATAGACCAGACTGGTTTCTTTTTCATATTTCTTTTAAATATGATTCATTTGAATGACACAGCTAAATAAGGTTTCCCAAGTGTGGTTTGTAAATAGTCTAACCAAAGTATAAAACGGCATGTCACACATATATTGTATATTATTATTATCATAAACCATAATCATCCTTTACATGAGGTGAGCAGTGAATGTGCGAGTGCAACAGAACAGGTGAGCGTGTTTCAGGACAAAGAGGAAATAAACATTTATTATATGAAGAGATGATCTTATCACTGATTACTCAGCTGCTTTGTATAATGGCATTGTAAAAGAGAACAGGAGTGGTGCATGTGTGCCCATAAAGTATCTGTTTGATTTTTAACTCCTCATAGAATCGAGGAGCAAACTTCTCTTTGCACCCTAATCATGTCAACTGTGTTGGTGGGAGAAAACGGTCCTACCACACCATAATGGCTGCACTCCTCACTACTCCGCCAGCCCAAGCTCTGAAGCCCCAACTTCTCGCTGCTCTGGGAGTCATGGGAGGTTTTATGCAAACACAAGGGCACGTACAGGTACTCAGCAAATTTAAAAAAAAAGTAGAAAAGCCTCACATGTATTCTGATATCTTTTATTTGCATAGTTTCATTAAATACAGAGTTTGAATTTAGGTGGTGCTGAACATGGTGGAGTTTGGGATGAATCCACAGCAAGCTCTGGATGCACCAAGAGTCTTTGTGGCGTACAACCAAAAAAGTATATTCACTCTTCATATACAAACACACACACTCACATACACACAATGTGGACCTATTTGTGGTGCTATTAACATACGGTTAAATTATGTTAATGATTTGATTTTTCATATTTATTTAGTCAAAATACTCCTGCTCCTTTCACTTCCTCGTGCTGTGCCTTGTTAAATAAGTCCAACTTTGGATATAATAAGTACTCTGTATGTGATACTGTACAGTATGTCATACGCAGTACAAGTATACAGCATGAACCAAATATATATTTTGTTCAACGTTACTGACTTTCTCAATTTGAGGATAAGTACATTGTATTACATTTTCTGTGTTAATGTAAATAAATAAATTTGACCATATCATAGATCTTTGGTTTTAGAACGTTAGGCATAGGTGATGACTTTTTATAATGTTTTTAAAGGACTATAAATAAGTAACATAATAGAGATATTTATGTTTTAACTTTCCATTTAATATATAATCATTAATTAAAGCAGTTACCTAACTACATGTAACCTATTTTGTTGACGCATTAGGCAAATAAAGTCAGGAAACACAGAATTACCTTTATGACATTTAACCAAAGGCTTGGCAAAAATGATTAAGGGTTAAATATAAATTCGACAGATGGGGAGAAAAGCTTTAAATATGTAATATGTCTGAATAAGGTCTGAATATGTTAAAAACACATAAGGAAACACACTCATCTCGACCAAAATATTTTAAAAGTTCATTCATGTATCTTCTGCTGCTGTAATCTTGCTAATGGTCGTGGAGTAGCTGGAGGCCCCCCCCCCCCCCCACTAGACGCCCAGCAAAGCATAGGTCCACCCCTGAGCAAAAAATAACATAAAAGTTAACCAAAAATGTAGTGAAATGGCTCAACATCTGCCAGTAAGCAAAACAATAATACTTTTCTTTATGAGTTATAAGGAACTTATCTCTGATTTCTGCGTTTAGCTGGTGAGTGGTGTGTTAATCTGGAAGAGGGCATCGGCCAGGAGGTCGCTGAGGACCTTAGGAGGCGCGGCCACAAAGTTGAGTGGCCAGTCACAGGTGTGTTGGATTTTGTTTTGCTTTTTGATTGTCATGTGTCGTGAGAGAGGACGCAATTGTGGTTACTTATGTTGTTAAATGGCTTAAAGATCAAAGATGCGTGAGGGCGATGCGTGAGTAAGCCTCGTTTGGTACCAGAACCACTAACCTCATTCAAAGACGGGAAGTACAACAAAATAGTTCTCAGAACGCTATTAAATGTTCCATTCCTCATTCTTTCTTACAGGTTTTAAAGTAATTTCATTAATTATCGTTTTGAGCCTCCTAGTCTATGTATAATTATTGTTATTATAATTATTCAATTAATTTGTGAAAAAAGATGGATATGAATGATGAGCAAATCCACCCTGACAAATGGTGAATAAAAATGGCAAATGATCATAGTCATCTCAATGGGTATTAAATATTGGTTTAACAAAATGTTACAAAGGTTTGAGATGGTGGCCTAGAACACAAACCGTGTCTTGTTTTATGTTGTTTTATACTTGTTTTATCAAGAATCAGTGGGTTTTATTTGCAGTTTCGTGTGACTTTGCCTTGTGTTTCTAAGTGCTACGTCTTGTCTTCTGATTGTTGTTGTTAAAATCTCTTATGAGATTTTAGTCTTTATAGGAACTCTGGTTTAAGTTACACTTCAATGTTTGGAGAAATGTGGTTCAACTTGTGATCCCTTATCTATGTTAGTAATTTAATGAAAATAGGATGCAACAATTACATTAAATGTGTAGTACTTCATTTATTTTAGACAGTTTTTCCACTTTTCTCTTATTTTTACTTTATAACAAGGCAAGAAGCTGGTTGCCCAGAAGGACTAGGAGAGAAAATTAGACCAGTAGGTGGCAGCAGTGCAGCTGAAAGAAAACTAAAAAAAAAAAGGTGTGGGGAGGGACAAGATCAGCTGATTTTTGGGTTCATTAACATAGTCTGTTAATAACAATTTTATTATTTGTAGGACACAACAGGGCTAAGTTTGGACGTGGGCAAATCATCACAGTGGGAGACTGGTGGAATGGGTCTGACAATCAGACTGATGGTGCAACCAAGGTGCTTTGGGCAGGTTCAGATCCCAGGGCTGATGGATGTGCTCTGGGATACTAGAGGTTTACTTCATTCTCCAAAAGAAAGAAAACTAAAACATGTACCGTTTTAGTTTATAGTTTAGTTTAGTTTAGTTTTAATTTAATTCTGTTAGTTTAATTAATTTTTAGAGGGCATTTGCTCATTTTAGTTAATTTTGTTTCTCTAAATGTTTAATATTTGTTTAGTTTTTATTAGTTTTAGTGTTAGTTTTAGTTATTCCAAACTAAAGGTTATTTGTCTGGTGTAGGATTAAAAAAAGATTAGAGTAAGTTTTGTTTGATATAGCTCAACAGTGGTTATCATTTCATAAAATGTATTAAGTTACTATTGGTCATGGATTAGTCCAAAACAAGACACATAAGTCCACAAAAGCAGCCTTGAGTGCAAAACAAGTTTTCTGAGAACAGGTACTGTTCAACTCAAAATAGCCAATAGGCTGCAGACGCAGACAAACTAATAATATAGTAGCCATAATTAATATGAACACATTCATAAGTCACATTGGTCTCAGGAACTTCAATCTGACAAAACATTCAGAAACTCAACAACCTTAATACACTTGCTGGATTGATTTTTTTTTTTATGTATTTATTTTTTTAAACAATGAATACTTGATTCAGCTTTGCTTGATTCCATAGTGTAGCGGTTAGCACGTTTGCCTCAGCAAATACAAATTGTACATTTTACAAGGTGCATCTAAACATACCAAAGCAGTGCAGTTGACACACAATTTGACACATTTCTTTCGTACTTACTTTATGTTGGTATAGATTAAGCCTTTGTGTCATAAAAATAATAAAACCTTTGCTCACATTATTTTGTATTTTTATGTCTAATACTCAAAACTGCTTCTTGCACATTTATGACCTTTTCTCACAATATACTTTTTTTTATACAATATAGCTTTCACATTAATTTATCATTTTATATATATATATATATATATATTATAATCAAACTCAGTGTAATAGGTTTTATGAAATGGTTTTATTTGTTGTGGAACCTTTTTCAACATTACATTATAATAACAATTCATTGTTTTGTTTATTTTAAAATGGACCAGAGAAGCTGATATGTTTGCTTTAACTTTGTAACTCATCAAATGAAAACGTTTCTCCTTAGTGCGTTTGCATAAAACACATGGCACATCATTTTAATTGGGTCCTCTTGAAAAAGCCATTATGTTGTCAGGCCCATGGATTGTTCTGTAGGGAATGCCACTGAGCAGGACGTGTCAGTCACTCTCACGACAGAAAGCCACAAATAAATTTGCTTTCTGATCACTAACCAATTATAAGTACTTCATCATGACCTAGCTTTCAGTAGTTTTTCTTTCATAGACCTATATTTTGGTGTCCAACCAATCAGGAAACATTACAGTTTTAAGTAGAAAGGTGCACAATTGTTAAAACTACACATTCACCAGTGCTTTATTTTAGGCAGGATTAGTTTTTGTGCTGATTGACCCACAACATCTGGTGCCTGGTGTTTACTGATTTCAAAGAAATTGTACTTTTCCACATGAACTCTGTCCTTCAAAGTCAAACACTTTGGTACTGGCTTTTAGAGGTCATGTACACATCAAACTGTAATCTATCCAGATAGGTTGCATTCCAGTTTAGTAGAAAAGTTGCTCATAAAAAATATTATTTTTTAAATAGCATGCAGATGAAGTTCTTTGTAGCGTTCTGATTCAACACACCCATAAACACCCTGCCACGTAGCATTGTGTATTGTCCTGACGTCAACCAAACCCAAGACCATCTGGATGCTCTCTGTGCTAAAACATTACCAAGACATCTTTCCATAATAAATGAACCCTGAACATGTGTTACAAAAAAAAACCCATGTTGCATTGGATTTAACGGATTAGATCGTTGGGTTGCAAAATACATTTTCTCCACAAATTCTCGAACTACAGTACAGTTAGCATTTAGCATAATTTAACACCATGACATACTGAGATTTATTGGCCTTCATTGTTCAACATCCTGATTATTGATAGGTCGTATCTAAGTATTTATTCTCGGAGAAATCAGCACTGAAAAATAAAAAAATAAAAAAAGCGAACTTTGATGGTAAATATTTGTGTTGTGATGCCAAGCGTCCTTCATGGACACAAGACGTATCAAAGAAGGTATGTTTAAAGATGACGTTATGAAAGCGTCACACTGAAACTTTGCTAACCCCCCCACATAACTGTATTTAACCACTGGATATAAGGTCAAAAGTTACATTTTTGTCTTTTTAAACAGGGGCTTTAACAAGGACTCAGCGGTGAGAAGATGAATCATAATGGTATGTTTACTGTTGAGTTTTGCAAAATATCTGTGCAGTTATGACAAAGTCCTTGACTACATGGCAGTCATGTAATAATGTAAGTCAACATGTGTTTAAGACTGATGGGGCTTTTTTTTCTGCTGCTTGAAATGTATTTTTTATGGCTTGAATCAGTAAATAGTGAAAACAATTCCCAGTTGTTTGATTATTGTGCACCAGGCCAAAACGTGACTTATATCATCTTTATATTGGTGTTTTTTATGGAGTCGAAGAGAATTTATGAGAGTAGGTGGCACAAGATAGGTTTATTTTTGTTTTTACAATATGTTTTGACTCCTAACAGGTACTAGTTGTTCTTAACATAGTATTTATTTATTTGTTGTTCTTTTGTGCATAGTTTGATTTGATGGTTTTTGTGTTTTAAGTACAGTAAAATTATTACTTTGTAATACGCTATGCTAAACGCTTTAGTGACAATGCCAACATAAATGCTTTGACATTTGCAAGAAAATTAATGATTTCCTTCATCCATTCATATTTCTCCATGTCACAAAACAGTGATTGACAAACACATAATTTGTCAAATTGGATACAAACGACAGGTGCTGGAGCAAGTGTTGTTCTGTTGGCGCACATTGGCCTTTTATTTTTCAATTAAAACACCGGTGTGCTTTCAACCTCTAATCACTTTAATGACAGCATTTGAATCGTATCATCCTTAGTGACGCGTCAACCCTGTCGTTTGATAATATGCCAGCGGCTTTTTGTTTTAAAACACTTTTCATAGCGTCTATGTTTTGCTGCTAAGTTTTTGACGCATCTGCGGGATTAACGTGATGAGGGTTGGATAAAAGACAATTCGACAAGTGTTGAAGATCTACACAGACGCACACGCACACAAATATGTATACTGATACTCTATATACTGAAGTGAAGTAAAACATCATTAACCATATAACTAGTTAATGCAGAATCAAATGTTTGTTATAGGTTGGTGTGATTTTAACCTTGTTGACGCTCACAGCAGATGAATTCTGCACGGCCTTTTACTAGAGCGGGAGCAGATGCAGGCTGGACGATTAGCTAGCTAGCAATCTGCACAAGGTGGCAGGGTTGCTCCGCACAGGCAGTTTTAGTAACGTTAGATACACGTTAAATACAATAAAACTGACGTTAAATACAATAATAATACATGGCAATATTTTTTTCGTTTTTTATTAATACTTTGTCTCCTTTATTTAGTTTCCCCCACAACCCAAACAAGAATAACGTTTGTACAAAATGAATGAATCTGCGTCTGTAGTCTCTAATCCTGGTGGAGAGACCAGTTGCTGTCAAGCTGTCAGTCAAAAGGATTATTCAAATAAGCTAAATGCCATGTGCAGGTTCTTGAGGAACATGTTTGTTTGGACAATTAAAAATGTAGAAGTAAAAAAACAAACAAAAGCCATATAAAGATAAAGAAGTTAAAATATAACCAAATACGTCGGATTTCAAAAGCCATATAAAGATAAAGAAGTTATATAAAAGTAAAGAAGAGAAGTGCAAGTGCCTCTTTTTACAAAATGTGTGTTGTGGTATATATGAATATTAAATCCAATTGATGGTTGTCCAATCACATTAAGTTAAGCAATCCATTGAAAGGAAACAGATTGATAAAATAAAATGTAACATTGTCATTTTTTGAATTTTATTTTATTCCAGCATTTTATTAATACTAGATTATTTTTAGCTGAAATTTTAGCATTTTGCCTAAATGTACAACGTTAGTACTAGATGTCAACTAATATATTTACTTTCTGACTAATGTCCTTATCAATCAGAAAGTAAAAAATTAGTTGACCTCCAATACTAATCTTTTCCCAAATATCTTCTTGTCCTTTTGAATTGTACAGGGTTTTTGCTAAATACACAGTGTGAATGTGTACACTGAAGGAAATGGGGATTATGAAGGAATGTGCTGATTATATGTTGGAACAAGTAAACCTGTTGTTATGAATCAGGAAAATAATTCTAGAGAATGCTCCATGAGGCCCTGCTGCTGAAGGCTGTGACACACACACACACGGACACACACACGGACACCCTCATTTGTTTGACCCTAATAAGAGAAACAATGTAGTCCTTCTTTATGGAAGGGCTCCAGTCGCCATGAATATTAGTTTTTGGACTGTAGCGGGGATCAAAAATAAACACACACTCTCCCACACACCCACACACACTCCTCATTTGTTTCTGTTTCCTGCCTCCACAGCTGCTCTGACCCTTCCCTTCCTCCCCTCTGTCGGTTTTCCCGGGTCTCCTCAGCCCAATCCACTTCTTTTCTCTCCCGTCCTCCCTGCAGTCACACTTCTGAGTGTGTGTTTGTGAGCGTTTTTGAGTGAACGATGTGTTGTTCAGTAGGTTTTGCCCGGTCCCTGGGCCTGGCCCTGCTGCCTCTGGCCCTCTGCTGCATCATTGCCAACCTTCTGCTGCTGTTTCCTATGGGGGAAATCACGTGCATCCAGCAGGATCGACTGGCCAGTTATATCTGGTACTTTGGTGGACTTGGCGGTGGAGGACTTCTGGTGAGTCAAAAACCTTAAATTTCGATCAAATGATGATGATTCACATCAACCTATTGCATTTACAATCCATTTACAAGCCTTTAAACCTTCTCAAACCGACCCCTTTTCTGTGAAACACTGTATTCAACCACTTGTATATTTTGGAAAATGTACACTTGAATATTGGCATTGTTATTATTATTTCAGTCGCTTTTCAAGTGCTGTGCTTGTGAAAAGCTTTTTTGTCCCAGTTTGTCTGGAACATCTG